TTTTTTTTTTTTGAGGTTTCTGCATCATTGGTAAATTCTAGATAAAACTAGGTTTAAGTATTTGATTTCCATGCCTGGGAAATATTTAATTATTTGTCTCTTTTTAGAAATTTAGCATCATTGTATTTGGAAATTCCATTTGTACGGTGAATTATTTATTCGTTTGTGTGGTTTCAACCTGGCAAATTTTTAACTCTTTTTTTCCCAGTGTTTCAGTATCATCAATTTGGACAGAATTAGATTTAAGAATCATAATCGTATTTATACATACAATTTGCATTAAAATTAATTTTGTAAATTTTAAATTCTAATTTTGTAAAAGATCCTCTACCAATAGTGCCAGTAATTTTCGTGTTGTATTGTGAAATGAAACTTTACCGTGTTATAATACTCTGCAATACGAGAATCTTTTCGTCACTGTTGTAACAATCATTTCTCAGTAGATAAACTCTCGAAATATTTTACGCAACGTAATTTTCTGTAACAAGTACATCGAACACTTTCGACGAGCCACTGTGTGTCACCATTCACGCTGCATTGATAGGTCATGAATAATCGAGGCGGTTGTCGAATACTGTCAAACGTCGTATCCCATCCGACACGCAATCCATTTTGCAATATTTATCGTTCACAGACACGAAATCGACACGGTTCCCTATCGCTGCGTACGGGATCAAATATTGTCGAACAAATCATTGTTTGCTCGCATAAGTAAACGATCACTCTGTATCATTCGTCGGTGGACTTAAGATAGTCTCGACTGTGTACCACGAAGGGAAGCATTATCTGATGCATTTATGCGGGAAAACATTTGTAATTCATTGGAAGAGATAAATATACAATTCTACGACACGGTGGACATTTTTCAATACAATAAAAAACGCAAGCATTTCGCAACAAGTCGTTCAAATTTCTAAAAATATATAAAATTAATATATAATGAACTATGATAGCGTGTATAATTAAAAAATAAGAATTTTTATGTCATTTCGGCTAGTGTTATTATAATGTATTGAGTATCTCTTTCTATAAATTATTAAATTCATACATGTATCAATATCTGAGTATATAAATTAAAAATCAGAATTAAATTCGTCGAATTACATTTCGTTTGAATTCAATTTGTGTTAAATTTAATTCAAGATTAAACTTCTTCAATCGTTTCTATTGTTACAAAATGATAATACGTTCGTCTTTTTCAAATCACATTATCGAGTTACCGTATTAAGGGAATTTCGAGCGTGTTGTTTGAGAGAAGAAACTGAGATAATTTTGTGATCTTCAATTTATAAATCATTCATGGTAATTTAATGATATCCAACATTCTATTTCCAATCCTTTTTCCCCAGTCAATTTATATTATCTTGAACTCTGATTGTGAAAACTAATTCCCAATTGTCTCCCACGAATTTGCAAATTTCTTCCAGAAATTTATACATAAGCTTGGTGATGAACTATCGCTCGATGGTCCTTAATGCGTTGATCATTTTATTTCCAAACTTTCCTCGGCCAATTTCGTACTTCTCACTTGGCCCAAATTTCTCTCAGTTTTCCTCGGTGGTCGTTTCGGGGTTTCACCTGGGAAGAAACTCGCAAGGGAGGGAATCGTGTCGCCATCGGCGAGTGGAAATTTCGGGGGCCATCAGGGACGAGTTCCAGGGATCCCAGAAATCAATTATTAACGCCGAGATCCCGCGGAACAGCGAAATTGACGCTCGCGCAAACACAAGTAGGTTAATATTGACAGCAATCAGACGGACAAACTGTTGCATACACGAGTTCAAGTGAAAATTTCAATCGGAGGGAAAAAATTCGTGCGAGATTCACGGCCAGTTCGCTTCTGCTTTTGAATATTGCAGGGTCGTTGGTCGCGAAATTTACGGGTCGAAAAGAAAGAATGCAGGTGGAAAAGGGAAAGACTCGAGAAACGTTGGCGTTTGTTGAATTGAAAGCAATTTTTTTGGAATGTTATTAGTTATTTTATGAACGTGGCCAATGAAATTGGATTAAGTTAATCTTCCGATCTATCAAGTCTCGTCACTCGTAATTATGATTTTAATTTTAATCTTAGTGAAAGAACGAATTTTCTGATTTCTCATTCGGATTTTAAGTCGCAGTTTCATTGACTTGAAATTGAAAATTGTTAAATATAAATTAACGTGACAGTTTTTAATGGCCGATTGGAAAGAAAATCGTAAGATCGACACTTTTTTCCCCTGTGAATTATTTCATTTGTTATACGAATTACAGGTATGATATATTTTTAAACATTGAAATACAAATTGATAAAAATAATATTCAATTATTCCGTAATAAAGATATATGGGCACTTATCGGAAATTTCATGTCTTTTGTAGAACAAATGCGAAGAATTCTTTTTTCTTTTTTCTTAATATATCACGTTAATAGAATGCTTCTGTTTATTCTTCTATCAATAACGCTGTAGTGAGATTTTATCAAATCTGAAGCAATTTGAAAAATAATTATATAGAAATTTATATTTATAATCAGAATTTCAAGTTTGAATATAAACTTCAAAATATTTACGTATAAAATCGTAATTTCAAATTACAAGATGTTTATCATAAAAGTATTTGAATTCGTCATATTAGTAAACATAAATATTTTTAACGCTTCTTAAACATTTAAGATGGCTGTCCATGCTGTATATTAATTTTATTAAATACGTGTTCATAATTTCAGTAAATAACAAATTTTCTTGCCAATAGCAGAGTCTCATTACAGTGTCAGTAAAATTTGAATATGCTTACTTTTCATAGTAAATATTCGGATACTTTACATTTATACTAGAAGTTAGTAGAGTAGAATGCAGACGATATTGCAGTGAGAATTCATGTAACTATTGCCACCTCGAAACTCGGTTAATCTGTTGTCGAGTAATTGAGTTACAAACAACTTTCATTTCTGCAGTTTCGTTATATA